ACATTTGTTTAAATCTAGACGAAGGAAAATTTATTTGGTTTAAAAATCATTTTATCTTACTTATCACGTAAACGACATGATTCAGGATTAAATATATTCTGTAATGAATGATGACCTGAATAACGATCGGATAAACGTTTTGATAGAGTTATTGTATTACTAAAATTAAATATTAGACATATAAAGATTTCCTTTAGTTTGCTTCTTACATGTAATTCTTCTTATTTTTATCTAGTTCTAATCTAGATTCATTTGATGCTACTTGAGATTGTGGAACAACCATGTTTTAAAGAAAAAAATTTTTCTAATGAATAAACTTATCAAACAAACTCGACATACATTGGTTGTTTTATCATTCATTATATTCTCTTGCTTACCTCTGTTGATTGACATTGATTGTCACGATAAAATATCATTCGTCAAATGTATGTACATAGATATAAATTGAATATGTTGCCTCATATACTTGTCACAATTTGAAATCGAGAATGTCGGATATTCGTAATTTTTTCAAAAAAGTTCCATCAACAAATAAAAAAGTAATTAATATATATATATTAATGATTAATAATATGTATTTTTTATTATATTAGCGTCCGCGAGATCAAGATGAAGATGTAGTTGAACTACCAAAAGTTGAACCAAAACCGATTGTAAATAAAAAATCTAGTGAAAAAGTTGTACCAACTGTAACTAAACCTATTCCTGAAACAAGTCCAGCGAAGAAAATGAAATTAAAAGAAGCTGATCCATTCGAAAAGAAAAAACCTGATGAGAAAGTTGTACCAACTGTAACTAAACCTGTTCCTGAAGCAAGTCCACCGAAAAAAATGAAATTAAAAGAAGTTGATCCATTCGAAAAGAAGAAACGTGTGGAAAGTTATAAATCATTTATAAATAGAGGTGGACCTGATGCACCTGGTTCGAAAACAATACCAGATGGAGAAAAAAATTGTCTAAAAGATTTAGCATTTGTTATATCAGGTATAAAAATTCTTTTTTGAGAAAATATTTCACTTATGGTTATTTATTTAGGTGTACTGGAATCATTAGAACGTGATGAATGTAAAAAATTAATAGAAAAATATGGTGGTCGAGTAACAACAGCAATTAGTGGAAAGACAAATTATCTTCTTACTGGTCGTGATGTTAGTGAAGGAAAAATTACTAAAGCAAAAGAAATAAAAATTAAGATTATTTCCGAAGATGATCTTCTTGAAATGATACGAACACGTCCAGGCGATGAAGAATCATCTTCAGTGAAGTCAAAACGAAATTCAAAGCCGACTATAGATCCAGATCAAGCATCAGAATCGACTTCAAAAAAATTAAAACGAGACTCTTCAACTGCAAGCAGGACAACAGAGTCTTCTTCGACAAAATTAAAACGAAATTCTTCGTTAAATGGAAAGAAGACAACAGATTCAAATCCTACGTCCATTTCGAAAGTATCCGTTGATGAATCATCTTTATTATGTAAGTAAAGAAAGTTATGAATATCGATAAATATTTATTTTCTTCATTCTAGGGGTAGATAAATATAAACCTGAAACAATAAAACAACTCGTTGGACAACAAGGTGACAAATCTTGTGTACAAAAATTAATTGTCTGGTTACGTGATTGGTATAAACATCATGGCGATAGTAATGAGAAAATTAAAGCAAAACCATCATTTGGTTTTAATCGTAATGAAAATCC